AGAACTGAGAATTCCAAGTAAAAAAAAGTAATGAAGTATAAGAAAATGAAATTTCTAGAAAGAGGAATATAAGAGGTCACAATAGCTAGAAATACATTTTTCATGGAAACAATTTGGGAAGGTGATCTGAAGTTAAAAGTAAGGTTGACTAAAAAATTCAAATGAACAATCTACTGACATGTACTTAAAAATTTTAGAATACACTGAACAAATTAAGAAAATATTCTTCTTTAAAACTGGGAGTATAAAGTCAGACTAAGTTAAAAAGTAATTTGGGATGAATAAATCAGTCTAATTGACAAGCACTTCATTTCACATAGCCACAATTTCTCATGCTAAAATCATTGTAAAATGCACACATTTTATAATGTGCATTTATGTATGATACTATTTTTGTTATATTTGCCATCATGTGCAATAGAACGCTATTTTTCCTTCTAAATGAAATGTTGACCCTGCGATGAAGCAAATACTTCATTTCCACCATGGACATTAATCAGTAAATACTAAGTATGGATTAATTATTCCATGGGGTAACATTTAGAAGACTGATCTGGGAGCTCTCACAATGACTTGTGTTCAGGGACTCAACTTATGTGGACATCAACACCCAAGAACCCATGAAAGAAACAAATTTTACATTCTCAGTTGAATCCCTAGGAAAATGTTTCCCTACATCGATCATGTAAATCTCTTTTAACTACTCTTAGGAATTTAACAGAAACCCAAGCACCTAAGAACCTGCTTGACCAAGGACAGGTAGGGAAGCTTTTTTTTTTTTTTTTTTTTTTTCAAAGAGAAGGAGTAAGTTTTATGAAGTGATTGTAGCACATCCAAACACTCTATTGTATAATTAAAAAAGTAATTCAGTGTGATTTTGATGTTAAAAATAAAGAAGATGAAACAAAGAACGTATGATGATTCTATAGTCCCTACTGTTGTGACCTTGCTGTTATTAAATAACGATAACCTTGACTTTGTAGAATGTTGTTTAACAGGAAACTTTTGGGACCTTAAAGCAACTGAATAGCAAGGAAATATATATTTGTAGGTTGAGCATACTTTGGTCATGTGTTGGGGTATGTCATGGAAAAGTATGATGGAGCATGAAATTACTGTTCCTTAAGCTTCAGCTGATAGAAAGCCACATGTATTTCCTTGAAGGCTTGCAAGATTCCTAAGACACTAGTAAGTAATTTTATTACACAGTATAGTATTTCTTACAAAATAAGCATGCTTGCACAGAATGATCTCATTTAGGCACAACTGTAAATGCCAGAGGACAGCCCATGTGAAGTGTGACCCATCCATCCCTATAAGTATAAAAGGGACTGGAAGACATGAGGAACTTCACATTTGAGAAGTATCCTCCTATCCTTCAACTGAAACCTCACTCTGACACCATGTGCTGCAACTACTATAGAAGCTCCTGTGGGGGCTGTGGATACGGCTCTGGCTGTGGATACGGCTCTGGCTGTGGATACGGCTCTGGCTGTGGACACGGCTCTGGCTGTGGACACGGCTCTGGCTGTGGATACGGCTCTGGCTGTGGACACGGCTCTGGCTGTGGATACCGCTCTGGCTGTGGATACCGCTCTGGCTGTGGCTCTGGCTGTGGATACCACTCTGGCTGTGGATACCGCTCTGGCTGTGGCTCTGGCTGTGGATACGGCTCTGGCAGGGGCTATGGCTGTAGATATGGCTCTGGCTGTGGATATGGCTCTGGCTGTGGATATGGCTCTGGCTGTGGCTATGGCTGTAGATACAGCTCTGGCTGTGGCTCTGGCTGTAGATATGGCTCTGGCTGTGGCTATGGCTATGGTTCTGGAACTGGCTGTGGATACAACACTGGTTTCTGCAGCTACCGACCCTCTTGCTACAGAAGGTGCTACTCCTCTTGCTGCTAATCACCATGTGAAGTGAGGCTCTGTCCTTGAAAGGACCACTGTGGGGGCAAGTTGAGGTGAAATATCCTGACCCAGTGATTTCAGTCCAAAGCAGCTTAGTATCTGATGTGTGACTGGATTAGCTGCGAACTGTTTCCTCTGCATTTAGTCTGGGTCCTTCTACCACATGACTGAAGACACAAGCTATATTGTCAAATATGCAAATGTAAATCATTGAAAATTTTCTCTGCTGTAACTATTTCCAAAATCACAGCAGGTTGATGTAATTGGCATATAATAAAATGTAACAAAATAAGTTTCTTAATAAATTATTTACTAAGAAGTTTAGTCTGTGTTGAATTATTGTTAATATTAAGTTTTATATTTTTGGTCATGTGAGTAAGAAATCTTGCATCTGTACATGGAGTTATGCAAACCTCTCAGAGAAAACATAAAGAACAGCCACAGCATAGGTCATTCCTGTTTGCCAATCTTGTTGTTTTATTTTTATGCTTAAGATTTCATAGTTGTTGTATAAAAAAGACCAATATTGCTCCAGTATTGCAGGTATGAAATTGAAGTGGAACAAAAGAGGAAGACAGTGAGATCTGAGAACCTTGGTGCTAATATTTGGACAGGACCTTCCTTCCCTACTGCTTGTGATAGAACCATTCCTAGCCCAAAGAAGCTAAGGAGAAAAAGCTTATTATGGACGTGCCTTGGGTGTTGCTAGTGAGCAGTGTTTGCCCTATCACCTGGGCCTTCAGTGACGCTATCAAGGGCAAATATGCCAGGAAGCAAAAGTCAAGCATGTTGACAAATGTCTTACAGTAATGCTAGTTTGATCAGGTATACTGCTGATGTTTTCACTCACCTTTTTCTCAAATATATAAAATTCAGCTTAAGGTGATATTTACTGAAAAAAATCTGTGAATACCTAAATTAAAAACATTTTAATGGGCTGGGGAGATGGTTCAGTGGAATAAGCGGTTCCCTGGCAAGCACAAAGGCCTGAGTTCAATCCCGGGTTCCACAAAAAAAATATATTACAGTGAATGACACATTGTGATTAAACCCTCTCCACATACTCCTTGTTGCTTGAACACACCTATTCCATCATTCTTGCCACTTTCTGAAGTGTTTCAGAAGACCTCACTTTTATTAAGTTCATTAGTACATTCTAGATATGCATAATGATCACTTTCTTCATATGTAATCTGTACCTATACATGATATTTTTTGATGCTTTTATTCCCAATCTCTTCTTCTCCCTTCCTTCCTTGTAAAGCTTTGTGTTCTTTTTTGTTTTTTCCTCTTTTCCCTTTCTTCCTTTCCTCTGTCCCCACCCCGGTTTTTCTTTTTGAATAGTTCCTTCCAGTTTCACAGTATCTATTGCTCATTTTGGTTGTTATTTACTCTTTACTTTCTCATCAGGGAAATGATACAATGTTTATACATGTGAGTCCAGTTTATTTCCCTTAAGTATGATGTCAAGTTGTATCCTTTTACCCATAAATGTCTCAAATTTATTCTTCTTTATGGCAGAGTAGTACTACATTCTTAACAAAATACCTCTTTATGAACTCTTCCATTGACGGGAATTTGGGTTGTTTCCAAGATTTAGCTATTACAAACTATGCTGCTATAAACACTGGTGCACACATATCACTGTGGTATGTTGTTTTCAGTTCAGTTAAAAAAATACCCAGAAGGGCAATAATTGGGTCAAATGGGACCTCTAATCCCAGTTTTTTGAGGAATCTCCACACGGATTTCTACAGTGGTTGTACCAGTCTGCACTCCTACCAACAGTGGAGAAGGGATCCTTTTCCCACCCAGTTGCACTAGCATTTGTCATGGGTTGATTTCTTGATGACATCCATTCTTTCTGGAGTAAGATGGAAACTCAGCATTATTTTAATTTGCATCTCTCTAATAACCACTGAAGAGGATCATTGTTCATAAATGTATTTGTATTTGTTTTTCTTCATCTGAGATCTGTGAATTCATATCAGATGTCCATTTTTGGATTGAATTTTTTAACTTGGAGTGGTCTGCTTTTGTTAGGTATTTATGTATTCTGCATGAAAATCCCTTATCTGATGGACAACTGGCTAATTTTTTCCCCTCCCTTTGTGGATTATCCTTTTACTCTGTTGGTGATTTCTTTTATTGTATATAAACATATTAATAGGATGATGATGGAAAAATCCCGGGAATGCCTAAATGAGGTATTCTAGTTATTGATTCTTAGACTTAAATTCAAGCTATTAAGAATGAAATGAATGAAATCACTAACAATCCTATAAAGATCCAGAAGATCATCAATACTTGCTTCAAAAACCTATAACCTAGTAAGATTAAAAAAGAAGAAATGGACAGATTCCCAGACACATAAATTACAAAAATTGAATCAAGAAGATGTACTACTTTGGCCTTTTATGCAATTCTAATTTTGGCCATGTGCCTTTTCCTAAATAAGTTTTTATAAAGAATAAAAAGAGGCAGTTTGTATTTGCTGTCAGTGGGATTATCACAGCACTTTCAGAGAAGCTCAGTGAAGTCAGTAGCAGTGTAAATAATTATTTGAAGCATTTAATAACAATTGAAAGTTTATTAAGGTATTGACATATGCTATATAACTACATGGAAGATTTTTGAGGAATCTCCACATAGATGTTCACATATATACATATACATTAAGTCATCACATTAAAATAAATCTTAAAATTTTGGTAACTAAACATATAGGACTACCTGCACATACAAAAATGTGTAAGAATTTATTTTTTGAGAGTACTTCTGTTTGTAAGAAGGTATGGAAAAATAGAATATATTGTTTTCTTTGTACATGAGGATCTATTATCTGCCCTTTATAGTTCATATATATTCATCTTTTTTAGATTTTTTTTAATTCCCACAGGCTGTTGCAGGAAGACATTCATATAGGTTCAGTCATTGTTGTGGTTTTGATATGTAATGTCCACATTTTTGGGAAGAGTTGCTCACTAATGAAACAATGCTCACAGATGATGTTTTGGAACCTTACAGTTTAACAGCACTTTAACTTCATTGGTGGATTATAATCTGGTTGATTATTGAGGGATGATGCAAATATAGGATATAGAATGCAGTCTGCAGGAGTGGCTCATGGGGCGTGTGCTCTGGGGCAATATCATGTGTTATGATTTGTGTCTAGTTGTCCCCTCAAAGCCTCATGTACGTTATGGAGCAGAGGCTGGAGGAGCATCCAGGGGCTTTAGGGGTGGGGCCAGAGGACCAGGAAGGGCCCGAGGGGTGGGGCCAGAAAGGCCATTAAACTGGCTACCCTGTGCTTTCTCAGAGATGTGTAGAGGGTTGTCTTGGACACCACAGCTCCCCAGCCTCTCCACTAGTGTCTTGAAACCTCCAGTAACTGGGAGCTAAATAAACCTTTCCTTCCCACATTTTGAGTGTCAGATATTTGTTCCAGCAATGAGAGACATCATGTGTTAGGGATTCTCTATGTGTTTCTGTCTCTGTCTCTGTTTCTGTCTCTGTCTCTGTCTGTCTGTCTCTGTCTGTCTGTCTGTCTGTCTGTCTGTCTGTCTGTCTCTCTCTCT